CTATATACCTTAGAGGTAAGATTCAGAAAATCAACCCTAACCTCGGGATGATGTACAAGAGCCGAGCTAATCGAGAGGTTGAGAGGGAGAAAATGTCATCTATAGGACGAAGTGGACCCCCAAAAGCAAAATTAACCCCCTCAGCAGTGTAAGGGATAAGTACCTGCGTTTCAGCAATTTTGCGGGAAGCCTCCTCCATCAAAGGGACTGGAGAGAACTTCTGGTTATTAATCTCCAGCAGGTTGGAAGGCAATGAGGAAAGGGGTGGAACGGAGAAGTCAGAAGATTTCGACGAGGTGGTCATTGCAGTGAGCTTAGGAAAACAGAAAGGGAAGAATTAACCGATGAGGTAACAGGGACGAAGGCAGGAGCTCAAGGGAGAAGATAAGATTGCACAGAAGGTAATGGTTCGCGTAAAAACCAGAGTGAAGACTAAGGGAGAGGCTAAGGGGAAAATCGTATAGGGAACTGGAACGATGGAGGTGAAAGGTAATAAATGTAGCGTACTGTGAAGGCAGCAGACTGACGAGACAACGACATAAAGCAAAAAAGAAACCCAAAACCCTTTTAACCCTAGAACCCCAGAAACCCTAAACCCTAAATCCTGTGGGCTTTCAAACACTAAGGCGGGAATATTGAAAGAATATAAAACAGAAACCATTTATATTCTTCCAAGGGGGCATTTTGTTAGTGGCAAATCGAGAAAAGCGATCGAAATCGAAGGGAAGAAATACGACTCGATAAGATAAACAAAAATTCATTCGATGTCTAATTAGAAATACGTAGCATTGTTAGTGGCAAATCGAGAAAAGCGATCGAAATCGAAGGGAAGAAATACGACTCGATAAGATAAACAAAAATTCATTCGATGTCTAATTAGAAATACGTAGCATATAGCATCGAGAAACACAATCGAGAATCGAATGAATTATAATCAAATGACTGTTGTCGAATAAAAACTAAGTCATATAAGACCAGGGTTAAAAAGGAATCGTAAGCAATTCGAAGTTCTCGAAAAATGCAGAATCGAGAGTAAAGAAAGCCAATATGGACATCGAGACTTTGGCCAAATTGTGAAAGGAAGTAAGTCGAATGCACGTATAAAGAGCAGTTTTGAAAATCATGGGAAAAAGTCGGAGATCGTGAGAACGTGGAAAACTATAGAAGATAAACTGCCATACGCACGTAGAACGTGATAGCAGTCACGTTAACTGCTCTCGGAAGGCTTGAAGGATGCCCTATAAATAGAGCAAAGGAGGAAGGAACGGGAGAGCAGAAATTGGCAGAGAACAGAATCAGTAGTGAAAAGTCTACCGGAGAAACGACGAACACCATGAAGCTTCTGGCAATCTGGATTTCCTTGCTCACTGAGTACATTTACCGCTTTCTGTATTTTCCTTGGTAATTTACTTTGATGCAACTTAAATTCAGCAGTTTTATGTTTCTGTATTTCGATTCCTTGTCCATTTCAATTCAATGAAAATTTGAGTTTCTGCATCTAGATTTCCATGTTATTTAACATTCTGCAAATCTCAATTTCCTGTCATTTACTTTTCTTGCAATCTCGATTTCTTGTCATTTATATTTGCGTTGTTTTCGATTTCTTGCTATTTACAATTAATGCAAGTTTGGGGTTTTCGCACTTTATATTTCCTCGCAATTTAACATTCTGCTTTTTCGATTCGATAGTCTTAATGCTTTCGAGACTTTAAATACAAAACACCAAAAACAGCATTTTCGATATCCTGGAGTTTTCGTTTCTCATACACGTTTTCGATTGAAAATCAAATTGCTAGCCTAAGTAAAAAGAGCTTACGTGGTAGAATTTTGATTAGGACCAAAACACCCTTAGAATCGAAATCGATCGAAATTCCACCAGAAACAAATTCATTCTCTATTCTTGCTATTATCTTATCATATTTATAATATTAATTATACCTACCTTATCCTGTTCATAATATTAATTATTTGAACTTCGCAATGAGTTTTGCAATAAACCTTTATTCGTCTTTTTTTAGGAAATATCTTCATGAATCATTTGATTGGCGATATTTTACACGATTTATAACTTGTCTAATAAACAATTTAAAGTTTATAACTTATAAATTATTTTATAATTTTATTTATAAGATTCAAATTAAAAATTATATTTATCATTTTTGTAAAACCTAATCCTTCATATTAATTATATTTAGACTAAAATATTCCTAAAAATTAGACCATAAATAATTGGAAAAGAAAGACAAACATGACAAAGGTATTTAAGACATATTTATTCTTATTAACTAAACAACTTTGGATGAAGGAAGTGCTATTATTATGTTCTTTTTCCTCATTAATTTACTTACTGTTCATTTCTACCATTTTTTTTTCCAATTTAGAAACTAATTTATCTACTATGTTATGTCTTTTCAATGTGCAAAATTTTTTCTTTCTTATCTTCTACTCTCTCAAACATAACAACAATGTCCATTGTCTACCACACCCATGTGTGTTGGTTGGAAGCTGTTAAAATTTTCAAATTATAAAATATTTCTTTTGTTTTAAATCAATATCATAGAAAATTTCATTCAAATTAAAAAGAATATTTTAAAATAGTTTAAATTCATTTAATTAAATTGTATATATTTTATGAAAAAACAGACATAAAAATTTAAGATAACTTATTTTGATTATTTTTTTTCAATTTGGTTGCATTAGAAAATAGATCAATTAGATTGAGATCCACTGAGAGAAACCTAAAAAATAGACCTATTAAGCATTTAATTCGTTTAGTTTAGAGGTTAAGTAGGGGATAAGTTTAATGTACCTCATCATTCTTTATTTTATTTTATTATTATTTTTTTCATAATTTTTTTTTCTTTCTCTTATAGTATATTATGGATAAAAGTTAGACGGATAATTAGATGACCCAGTCTTGACTTTCAATTTTCGAAATTTTGGTTGAAATAATATTTTCGTGATTCGTGATCACATGATATACGCATGTTTTCTAACTGATAATATAAAAGATTAACTATTAGAGTTTGACTTTCTGAGAATCGAATTTTGTGGTGTAATTTTTGTCTACAACATGCTATCTGGAAAAAAAAATTAAAAACACTACGTTGTTATTGCGAAAAAATCCATAAAATATGACATGTAATTTTTATGATTTTATTTTCATTACTAAATATAACTATGTTATTGATATAGAATATTCATCGACTTTTACCATGTCTAACTTTTGTTATAAAATTTTCATTACTTATTTATTATTATTTGATTTATTAATAACCAATAAAAACATCAAGCATGAATTCATGCATTCTTACTTAAAACATTGTGGTAATGAATAGAAAGTTGTCAAAATTCATAAATTTTCCTTCAATTTACTACTTATTAGGCTGTTATCCGATTGCTAAAATCTATCCTTCATCTTGTTGAACCAAATAATTTATTAAAAAGTTTCAATGGTCATGATAATGTATTATAGAATAAAAAGTTTCAATGGTCATATCCAACAATTCGTAATAGAATAAAAGTATAAAACTATTTTAGATTAAAAATCAGTGAGAAAAAAAATGAAACAAAGGAATTGAGTGCATGACTTGTGACAAAGCGTTTAAATATAACATTATGTTCATTAGAAGTGAATTATATTTGTTTTTAAATTGTAATTAAAAAATTTGAAATATATTTATATAAAAACAGTATATTCTTATATTAACATTTATTTTCAAGTTTGACTATTACTCTTCTGCAACGTATTAAAAATCAAGACACGATTTCTTTTATATCTGAATGTAAAATTATATTTCAGAAGAAATATGAAGATATGTTTTAATAGAACGAGAAATTTAAACTTTTAAATTATGAGAATTAAATTCGTTTATTATTATTTTTATTTTTTTAATCTTTTATATGAATTAATTTATTATATTATTATTTTTCTCTTATCTTTTAATTTTGTACAAATTTTCAATTAATTTATTTTTTTAATCTTTTTAACTAATTTGATGAATATAAAATTAACATTTTTAAAATATTTTATATAAATATTAATAATAACTAATATTATTTTATTTATAATTTATATATATTAAATTTTTTTATATCATATTTTTTTTATCTTATTATTCTTATTTATAATATATTAAATCTTATCTTAATAAAATAATTATATTTTAAAGATTAAAAAAATTGATAATTTAAATTTTTATTACTTCAAACTAATTAAATAAGAATTAACTTATTAAATATTTTTTTATAAATTATATATTTTATATTTTTAAATAACAAAATTAACTTATATATTTAATCAAATATTTAAATATTCTATATATATATATATATATAAAATAATTAAATATTTTATATATATATATATATATATTTTAATATAAATATAATAAATTAAAAAACATATTTAATTAATAATAATTACAAATTATAAAATTATAAATATTTATTTATGTATAAAAAATATATAAAAATAATAAAATTAATTTATTATATATATATATATTTAAATAATATGGATAAAAAATGGGATAAGAACAGAGAAATTCGACGACGGTTAAACAGGAGTAGCAAAACCTGCCGCGCCCCTGACTAGTTGCTAAGATTTTGTAACTAGTTCCAAGCAAGTACAGTTTCAATTAAAAATCTTGACTATGCAAAATGATTTGCATTAGTCAGTGATCCTATGCTGACTTCAATCTCAATGATTATAATGGTTCTCTCCAATCAGGCAACATACAATAATTATTAATTCCATTAAAAGATCAATAGGAAGAATACGTTAAACTAATTAAAAAAAAATCAGACAACAGTCACTGTAAAACATAAGATCTGAACATTGTATAAACAAAAACATTGTTGCCTAAAATTCTTAACTTCCTTTCTGAAAAATGTAACTGGGACCATTAATTTCATGGCTTAGACGAACAAATAAAATAGAAAATCGGATAAAACAAAGGAAAGTGTACCAATAATTGGTAAAAGCTGGATCAGGCACTTTACTTATCATAGTTCATTAAACATCCACCATCATCTTCCATGTGCACTCCATTTCCTGAAGATACATGCCAAACATTTTCATTTGAAGCTGTTGCCAATTGGCTTTCCATCATTAAATACTTCTGGTCACCACCATCATGCTGCACTCTTCCAGTAATCTCTAAGCACAAGCCCTTGCTTATACCTTTATGTGATTGCTTATCTTTAGCAGACTTCTTACTAAAGCCTAGGTCCACAAAAACCGGTTGAAACTTCAGAGTTGGATTTGGTTTGATACGGTTTACTTCCCTTTCATCATGTGGACGTAATATTCTATTTTCAGACTGCAATTCTGAAACTTCGTCTTTATTCACAAGGACCTGCAAGATATAATAAATCAGAGTCCAAATGAAAACAGGAACTATGCAAAGTAGCAGGATTAACAAGCATATGAAGACTACTTATTATACACACAAGCAAGAACAATGGGTAAAAAGGGTGAAGGTATATAAAATAATGGATAACATATCCTTGAACGCACTTTTGCATGACACATTCAATATTTCAATTCTACACAAACCATAACATGTAATATGTGCATGACACATTCAATATTTCAATTCTACACAAACAATAACATGTAATATGTAAGACCGTCAAAATAATGGATGGAACAAGCATAATAACTTGATATACATCTGTAGATACCAGGAAACAATTCCACAAGAAAAGAAATTTTGTTTCAAATTCTATTCATCATGCTGGTGCAAATCCAACTAGTAACTTGAGGCAAAACCATATGGCTAAAATATAAACCTTGCGGCCAACTAGATCAAAAGTTACAACAACTCTATTCCGTTTGGCTCGCTCCGCTTCTTCCATCTCCTCTTGCTTTTTCTTCAACAGTTCTTTTTCCTAAAGAAAGAAGACAAAATTGAAACTCTCAAATGCATCATAACTCATAATACAAGTATCACATGTAAGCAACGATTGCAACTTGTAACCAGAATAGAATACCTCCTTTGACAACCAACTATTTCCATCAATCTCATAGTAGTCACTTTGGTCATCAATGACCGTTGTACGAGCTGCAGAGTTCCGGTCGTATTCTACAAGCCTCTTTGCATAAGCTTCAGCAGCAGCCTCGGCATCTGACAAGGGAGGTAAACTTTCTTCCAGACCAGCATAAGAGCTGCCCTCTCTTAACACAAGTGCACCACAAAAATGGCAAGGCCCTTCTCCTTCTTGTTCACAAACTATTTTGCCACAGGACAAACAATTGCTGACTAGCCTGTGTCGACGTGCTTGACAAGAGCATGGCCTTCCCTGCTGGAATACAATTGACCCTTTTGCAGCCTCAGCAAGTGAAACAACTTTCCCAGCTTTCTTCTTTTTGGAATTCACTTGGTTACCCTTTTGTGACGTTCTTGATTCACTACCAACAGTTGGAGTCTGATTTTCCTGCTTGCTGCTAATCAAACTCTTGCTGGGTTCTGCTTGATGGATGCGGCCCGATGCTTTTGGTGCTCTAAATGATTTCTTAGTTCCACTAGCTGATGTCTCAACAGATGGCGGTTTGACATACGCATGTAATTTGGTAGTTGGAACATCTGAGTTGGCACTGAACGCTGAATAACCTCTTCGCCGTAAATACTCTTCAATCACAGTTTTCCCTGCTTCCTGACCAATTATATTCTGCAAAGGGAAATAAGTTAAAGATAAACCTAATCAGAGATAAAATGAATGCATTGGATATCCAAACAATTAATCCTTAAACTTCAATCATAAGTGATTAATTTAATTATTTAATTATAATTATAATACGAGTACATTGAACCCTAATATCCTAGATTTCCAGCGAGAGAAAAGGACTGTGATTTGGATCACTTGCAGAATAAACTTTAAAATAAATTAAACGCAACAGGAATCTAAGTTTCATAAAATCAAATAAAAAAGATTATCGTAGGTGAAGTATAAGAAAATTACGTCAAGGTACTCTTTGGCATCTGGTGGCTGGGCAAGGTCGCAGTAAGAAACAAGGCCTTTGATTATCTCTTGATCCAAACCTAAACCCAAGCCAGTTTCAATCTTGGAGCACAACTCGACCAGCGCCTTCTCCAGCCACTCCCCCGCCGATTCCATCTCCTCTCTCCGCCGCTTCTCCGGAATGGAATTGATATTAATTCTTCGGTGCCGTTTTTTCTTCCAAATCAGCTCCTGAGTTACTCCCTAAATTTTAGAAGAACAAAAAAAAAAAAATACTTAACGATCGGAGCACATTATACATTAAAATAACAAAAAAAAAATGTGAATTTTACGTGTTATTTAATAAATTTTCTTAATTTTATACAATTTAACTAATACATTTTTTTACAAAAAGTGTGTTTTTAATTTTTGTTTTCAGAAATGATGTTATCATTTTCTATTAAAAAAAAGTTTGGTTGATATTTAAAAAAAAGTTATTTATCTACCATTATAGTTGGTAATGTTAGATATTTTTTTATCATCACCGAGTGAAATATTATCAACTTTATTGATATTTATTTTTGTTCAGTTAATAGTATTTACTAAATTCTCTTCAAGTTACTTATTTATATATATATATATATATATATATATATATATATATATATATATCAAAATTATATTAATTATACTTGGTCCAATGTTGATTTATAAATTAGTGTTACTTTGAATTATTATGATTTTTATTCTTGTTAAGGATAGCCAAAAAAGTTTTTTTCACTTCGTAGTAAAAGAATAGTTTTAGATTTTGATATTTTATATGAAAAATGGTTTAAACAAGGCAATTAAATCCTATGAACAGAGTAATTAAATGGAAAATATATAATCTTATCAAAATCGTTCTAATGCTGTATGCAACTATAATTTAATAACATTTTTCTCTTGTTTTTTTCACTAGAAATATCTCTGGACCCATATCATTCAAATGGTTGACACCCCAACTATGAACAGATTTTATAAATGGCTTGTGCAAGATGGTTGTCTCTGATGCTAATCATCTTGCAGATGATGTTATTGCCAAAGGGTGACTAGCGGACATGTTTACCTATAATACTTTGATTGGAGTTAGAGAATGCAACTGAGATGGTAAATAGAATGTGGAGTCGGGGCGTGGTTCTGATGTTATTGGGTTGTGATAGATGGCTTTTGAAAAATGGGAAATATTTCTCAAGGATACAATTTTCTTTTGAGAAACATTGAAAAGGGTTTAAATTGTCTGTGTAAAGGACAAAGTTCATGAAACAGATAGTATCCTCCACCTTGCGTTACAAGAGGGTATCGTTGCAGAGACTGTAAATACAATTTTTGAAGCTGATAAAAAGGTGGTAGCAGTGTCGAAGATTCTTATGGAAGATCTTTTGAGAAAGGGCCATATAACTTATCACACTTACAAACTACTACATGATGGTATTAGAGATAAAAAGATACTCAAGAAAAGACTCCCAACTGTTAATTCTCTTCATCGAGGGGCCAGGAATAGACTTTGGAAAGTGATCCATTATGACCCCTTTGGTCAGTTCTAACTTCCAAAGTTGTTTGGAGCTTCCAAAGTATATTGAATTTCACAATGCTCCCCTATCACACTTGAGTCTTCATGCCAGATTTTATATTCCAAATGGTACATTTGAAGAACGATGAATAATGATGCTCATCCGCATACTCAAGCCCTCATCAAACAGAAAGAAAAGATAGCTGCTAAGTTTATAGTCATGTGTTTTGTAATACAATTCGTGCCTGTATATCTGAAGATATCCTTTCAAGTTTTTATTCAGATGTACTGTTTTGTAGTCATGAGGGTGGAATTTTAGAAATGGAAGATAACCGTTAATGCCCCTTGTGTTCTTTGTTCATTTTTCATATTGCAGGTTAACTCCTTTCCTCAAAAAATGGCTTCTTGAGGCAAATCAAACAAAACAATCCACATACAGTATTTGCATCTTCACGTACATGCATTACTTATTTCCCAGCAAAAGTATGTATGTGCCTATTCTCGATGTCAGAACATACTACTATCAGATGATTAAGAAGGTTCTGAATATTCAGAAAGCCAAGAGAAAGAAGATGGCTTAAATAATTTACAAGTGTATATCTTTTTGGAGAAAATTAAAATCAAATTATACTACATATTTAACTTTTAAGTGGCTCGAAAATATTATTTTCATTCAACTCTCCACCAACCCTCTTGAATTCAGTTTGTTCCGCTTGGTGGGGGAGGGAATGGAAGAAGGATGGGTTGTTTCATTGCTCAGCAAGTGCAGCAACCTGAAACCCACGAAACAAATCCACGCCCACATCTTCAAAGCCGGTCTTCACACAGACCCCTTTATCTTTGGCAAACTCCTCCTTCACTGTGCCGTTTCCATCTCCGACGCTCTCCACTACTCTCTCCGTCTATTCCACCACTTCCCCAACCCCGACACCTTCATGCACAACACCCTCATTCGTGCACTCTCTCTCTCCCCAAACCCTCTCCTTTCCCTCCATCCCTTCATCCAACTACGTCGCCAACCCACCCTCTTCCCCGACAGCTTCTCTTTCGCCTTCGTCCTCAAAGGGGTCGCCAACTCCCGGAACCTCAGACCCGGCATTCAGCTGCATTCTCAAACTTTTCACCACGGTTTCGATGCCCATATCTTCGTTGGGACAACGTTGATCAGCATGTACGCCGAATGCGGGGACTCCCGTTCCGCGCTAAGGGTGTTCGATGAAATGTCTGAACCAAATGTTGTCGCATGGAACGCCGCTGTCACTGCGGCTTTCAGGTGTGGTGACGTGGAAAGCGCGGGGGACGTGTTTGGACGAATGCCTGTTCGAAATTTGACCTCATGGAATGCCATGCTTGCTGGTTATGCCAAGGCAGGTGAGCTTGGGTTGGCGAGGAGAATTTTTTGTGATATGCCTCTGAGAGATGGGGTTTCCTGGAGCACTATGATTGTTGGGTTTGCTCATCATGGTTGTTTTAACGAGGCTTTTGGGTTTTTCAGGGAGTTGCTGCGCGAGGGAATTGGGACAAATGAGGTGAGCCTCACTGGGGTGCTGTCTGCTTGTGCACAGGCTGGGGCGTTTGAGTTTGGGAAGATTTTACATGGGTTTGTGGAGAAAGCTGGGTTTCTTTATGTTGGTTCTGTGAATAATGCTCTCATAGACACCTACTCCAAGTGTGGGAATGTGGCTATGGCTAGGTTGGTTTTTCAGAATATGCCAGTCGCAAGGAGCATTGTGTCTTGGACATCGATAATAGCAGGACTTGCTATGCATGGTTATGGAGAAGAGGCAATACAGCTTTTTCATGAGATGGAAGAGTCTGGAGTTATGCCAGATGGTATTACTTTTATATCTTTACTATATGCTTGTAGCCATAGTGGCTTGGTTGAGCAAGGGTATGGTTTTTTTTGCAAGATGAAGAATTTGTACAGTATTGAACCTTCTATCGAGCATTATGGTTGCATGGTTGATCTGTATGGTCGAGCTGCTAGGTTGCAGAAAGCCTATGAATTTATATGTGAAATGCCAGTTTCTCCTAATGCTATCATTTGGAGGACACTCCTTGGGGCTTGTAGCATTCATGGTAATATTGAATTGGCAGAGCTGGTGAAAGCAAGGCTTGCTGAAATGGACCCAGACAACTCTGGTGACCATGTACTACTCTCTAATGTTTATGCCATTGCAGGGAAATGGAAGGATGTTGCCAGCATAAGAAGAACCATGACTGAAAATAGCATGAAAAAAGCACCTGGTTGGAGCATGATAGAAATTGACAAGGTCATTTATGGTTTTGTGGCAGGTGAAAAGCCTAACAAGGCCACACAAGAGGCTCATGAAAAACTGAGGGAAATAATGTTGAGACTCAGAGTAGAAGCAGGTTATGCGCCGCAGCTAAGGAGTGTTCTACATGATATTGAAGAGGAAGAAAAAGAAGATTCAGTTTCTAAGCACAGTGAGAAGCTTGCTGCAGCTTTTGGAATAGCAAAACTGCCCTCGGGAAGGATTTTAAGAATTGTGAAGAATCTGAGGGTTTGTGGGGACTGCCATACCGTGATGAAGCTGATGTCTAAAATTTATCAAGTAGAAATCATTGTGAGAGATAGAAGCCGCTTCCACTCGTTCAAAGATGGATTCTGTTCTTGCAGAGATTACTGGTGAAAAGTGATTGATCAAGTAGCTTATCTTGACTGCCTTTGTTTATAAGGAAAATACACAATAATTTCTTGATTTTCACCAAATTGGTCGATCTAGATAGCTCAATGCTGACGACATCTCGGCAATATGACATACATGATGGGTGAGTCATGTTGTTCGAATAAAATGGCTGCTAGAGAAGCATTTAGTAGTTCTGTGGAGTGGTTTTTCTGCCTTTAATGCAGGGGTATGGTGAAATGGTTATGCCCATTAGGATGAGAAAAAATTTAGCTAATAATAACAACTGTTTTTTCGACTATCATTCCTCTGGAGTACAAAACACATATTGGAAGACCGAAAGAGATAAGTGAAAAGGATGAACCAACAAACCTTACAAACTAATGAGGAGGAACACTCAATTGTAGGATTCAGAATACAACGATGATGGTCACCACAAAAATAATTGATGCTTGGACGATTATTTTCATCCATTTAACACCCCCTTTCACTATTTAAAAGGTTAAAAGTGAGAAACCATAGTGATATAGATGTAACTTTGAATGTTATCAAGGTTTAGAATTTTACGTGGATTTAATAAAGAAGTCTTCTGTTTATGTGAAATTCTAAAGTCCATGTCATTGACTAATGGAATAAACATTCTATTGATTAGTGCAAACAAAGATTAAATTTCATCTTAATCAAAAACAGAATCTGTTGTATCATTTGTCTGTTACATAGTCTGTCTAGACTAATTATCTCTTGAGCAAACTTTGCATTTATTCATGTTGTGTATTATCAGAGCCATCATCCATTGTTGCATGATCACAATTTGATGAAGAATAAAAATATTCTCAAAACTTTTCACGCCCAAGCTTTGAAGTCAAATTCACCAAAGTCAAAATGCATCAAAAGACACTCTGTAGAAGAAATGACAAATATCGAATATCTGAAGCGCCTCGAACTCATGTGCCACCTACTTCTCATGAGTAAATAGTGAAGTGGGCAGGAGGGGTTGAAAAATGAAAGTAAGATAACGAAAAGGAGTATTATTTGAATTAAGGAAAAAGAGTACAATGATAAATAAGTGAAAAAAAAGAAAAAGAAAAAGAAAAAGAAAAAAAAAATATATATATATATATATATATATATTAATTTGGTTTTTTAAACTATAATATAATCAAATATTTTATGTTGAGATAATCAAGTTATTTCTATATATAATCAATTATATTAAAAGATATAATTAATTATGTTATAACATAATATTATTATTATTTTTATCTTTCTTTGTATTAGAGTGGCAGAAAATAAACTTTAGAAAATGAGAAATGAAAATAACTAGGAGGAAAGTATTATATTGCTAAAAAAATATAAACAAAGTGGGTTATATAAAAAGAAGATGATTAGCTAATATGTGTTTAAAGTCTCCCACAAAGCTTCAAGTAAAACATTAAATATTTGTTAATCAATGCCTTTTAGCATTCTGAAGATTGATAAAGAAAAAAAAAAAAAAGTGAAAGAAAACCCTAAAACAGACTATTATAAACAAATATCTTTATGCCCTCATTGTACAAAGAAAGGAGAAGACAAAATACATAACACAAGTGCTCGGAGAATCTTTCTATCTATGTAAACACCTGTCAAAATATTTATACATCACTCTAGTTTTCAGACTTGGTGTGTTAAACCTTTGTCTTCGTGTCACACTAAATCTAAGTCTAGTGCAAATTGTTTACATTTTCATATAATACGAGTAGAAATAAAAAATGGTTTTATTGAATTCATCTTCATTTTCACTCTTTTCAATCTCTGCTTTTAGGACATTTCAGCTCTCTACTCTTCGATTCTCGTCTATTCCAACCATTCCAAACACAAAATTCATCAATTCACAGTAACTATTTTGCAAGAGGACATCTTATTATAGGTTACTGAGTTTGAACTGAGGAACAACACACACAGATAGACAATGGAGAAAATAATGCTGTAGTATTGTAAAATCATATTTATAATAATTTCTGATTAGATCACCAACAAAATTGTTTTCCAATAATTGCATTACACTTGACAAAACAAGGGAACTGCGTATCTATTGAACTCAATATTTTTATAAATTCATAAGAACTTTAAATGTCTCTTAAAAGTTTTTAAGTGAATTATAGAACTTTTACTGGCCAAGTAATTTTTTTAAAGAAGATAACTAATACAATTATTTTTTAAATATTTAAATCTTACCATTCACGACTCAACAAAGTTGTTTTTATTTTTACAAAATGTGTTGATTTTTTTTTTTTCACGTTAGACAATCTTATTGGTGTAGTTGGAAATACAATTAATTAATGGTCATTACGTTCTTGAAATTGCACTGGGATATTTTGAAATACAGTGTTGGACACTCACCTATCTAACAGTTTTGATCACTGATTTTACCATCCCCAACCAAAAATCTCATCAGTCTAAGGTCAGCATTTTCTGCTGCATCCTTTCTGTTTCTTACCTTAAACTTTAGGTCTTCTTCAAATTTTCGTTTTCAGCTTTCATCAGTATCCATCGAAGCTTTGCATTATGGCTCTCTCCGCAGCAATTATGCCTCCCTCATCTCCAAAATTGAACCTTTACGCCAAAATTCGTACACCCTTCTACCCTCACTCTGTTAGACTCCTTACCCCCCTAAAAATTCGGGCTTCAACTGCTATCGATTATTCTAATGTCTCTGCCAGCGACAAATCCTCCCCTTTGAAGGTAAGAATAACTTCCCCCTCTAACTGTCAATGGCTTTATTTCATTTTTGGTAATTGTGTTCTCCAAATTACTTTCTCGGTTTTGTTTAATTATTGTATTGAATTCCTTGATGCGATGAAGATTGTTTTCGCCCACTTAAAACTCCCTTTCACTATTAAGAGGTTAAAGTAAGGAACCGTAGGGATAGATATGACTTTGAATGTTACTTAGATTTAGTGTTTTACTAGGATTTAAGAAACATGACTTCAGTTTATCAGAAATTCAGAAGTCCATTATGTCATTGATTAATGTAATAAACATTATGTTGGTTTTTCTTCGTTGGCTTATAAAAGCAATTGTCTTTTCATTTGATTATTAACAATTGAAACTTGAAATTTGGATGCTTGTTTAATTGAGAGGAAATATCAAAGCCATGTTAATTCGTAGTTATTCTCTTGCCTCAGACATAATGGGTTTTTCTTTGTCCATCAGACTAGTAATTGGCAATGGAAATTCAAGGACAATCTGATAAACATTTATTATGAGGAGCATGTAAAGGAGAGCCCGGAGCCTTCCCAAAATATCTTGATGATGCCAACCATTTCTGATGTTAGCACTGTTGAGGAATGGAGAGTAGTGGCTGGAGACATTGTTCAGCGGAATGGCAATACCAATTGGCGGGCTACTATTGTTGATTGGCCTGGGCTGGGTTACTCTGATCGGCCAAAGATGGATTACAACGCTGATGTCTTAGAAAAATTTCTGGTTGATTTCATCAATTCACCAAATGGTCCCATAAAACAACCAGGTACTTGTGGAGGGGCATTCTATTTTGTAATAATTTATGATTTACTTTCCTTTGGCCAGTTCCTATTTATATATTTATGCATAAATTTTAGTTAAGTGTAGAGAATAAAATTTAATTATCAAATTTACGTGTTTAAGAAACTTTGCCAAGCTATTCTTTTATTTAGCCTTTTGAAGATATAACTTCTTACCTACTCAGTAAGCTGCTAAGTAAGGCTATTTTTTCTTTTTCCCCTTTAATTGGTAGATCTGAAAATCTATTTTCTGTGCATTGGATTATATAATTGAGAAATTTTGTTAAGTTATTATTTATGTTGGTTTTTGAAGATATAATCCCTTACCTGCCTCCCAGGCTTCTAAGGCTTTTGGTTATTCTTATTTATTGGCTAATTTTGAAGATTTAGACTGTTGAGAGTGTTTGATTCATTCTAGCTGTCTGTATGAAAATGATAAGGTTTTTACACTCTGGAGCTAGGAATTGTTTTTTCCATTGAGTAGATATTCTCATGTTACCATGTTTCTTTTTTTTATTTTATCTAGTTTCTACCATGATGCATTTGTGAATTGTGGGGGTGTTTACCCAATGGTCTTCTGTTTGAGTGATTATTTTCTAGGATGTGTATTTGTCTGTATGTGTAGTTGAATGTGACCGTCCTTTGTATTGATTAGCGGTCGTGACTAACATAATTCATGTTAAACTAGAAAAAGATTTGATAATTTTTGGGGGAGGGCATGCTGCATCTATAGTGGCCCGTGCTGCAAAAAAGGGTCTGGTGAAGCCCAAAGCAATAGCTGCTGTTGCACCAACTTGGGCTGGTCCCCTTCCTATCGTGTTTGGTCGAGATTCGGTCATGGAGACAAGGTGTACTTTGATGCTCTCTTTATGAGTGTACAAACTTTTTCCTTTCTGATTACTGTTACATTGCTTTCTAGTTTCTACTGAGAGGAAAATAAATTTAAGTCATCGAGCTTAAACATTTTTTTACTGAAATTTAATATAATTAACTTGAGGTAATTTCATTGCAATTGTTGAGGCAGTAGATGGATACAGTGCTGGTTTTTATTATATCTATTTATATCAAATTTAGTTTGTGAATAGTGATGCTAATTTTTTAATCTTGAATTGTAAATTGTATTGAACTGCATGATACTTTTACATGATGAAAAATAGCTTGAAATGTGTTGTGTAAATGATGTATGGTGCATTGGTGCTCAGTGTAATAATCTTTGATTGTAACCTTAGGTCTCATAAGTCAAGTTGTGAGTCATAAATCATAACTAAGTCTCACTATCAACTGATTTATAAACTAATAAATAAAAATACCAACAACGAAGTGGTCATTTACCACGGTGTGTAACGGGACAACGTTCTCCCCCTTCCTTGCCTTAGGAGCGGCATAAAGAGGCTATATGCATAACAAAGTAAACAACGCAACTATATTACCTAATAAGGTTATATAGAATAAGTGACTCTGTGAAGCCTCTGTTTATGAAGAATAGAAATTGAGTAATGCAATAGCTGACAGGTTTTGTAGAGGGATGGAGTGGGTGCCGTGAAGCCCCTGTTTACAGAAAAACCAATGGAATAATCAAGTAAGGTGTATTCAATGGTGCTCCTTTAGTTCTTTTTAATACGACAGCCTTTGGTGAGAAAACATAAGCAGCAGTAGTAACAATAATAAAGACTTTCAGAATCCTATGATTTGTATGCGTGACATGAAATCACACAGATTCGTGGATACATTTCAACCTCAAAACCATTTGTGAGATTCACCACACGACATGAATTGTTAATTTTTAGATCATTTGGATTTAAGGGATTCAGATTGTAAATCCTGCTACTCTAACAATTGTGGTGGAAACAACTCCTTGCTCTTGGCAACAATGTAATATGCTGTGCCTCTGAAAGATGTTAGAATTTTTCCTCCACCAATTACGTTTGATTTTTGTATAATTCTCATTGATATACATTGAGAGAGCAATGCATGCTACGGCCTCCTTACCTTGTTTTTCAACATAACTGATACATATTTTTTTTTCCTTCTTCCTGATGAACCTAATAGGTATGGTTTTCTAAGGGGCACCTTAAAGGCCCCAGCAGTTGGGTGGATGATGTATAACATGCTGGTGAGCAACGAGAACGCAATCCAATCACAGTACAAATCCCATGTATATGCCAACCCTGACAATGTGACTCCAGGAATTGTGGAAAGCAGATATGCATTGACAAAACGAAAAGGAGCACGTTACTTGCCAGCCGCATTCCTGACTGGTGAATTAGATCCTGTTACATCTCGCGAGGAGTTCCTTGAACTCTTCGCAGCTCTGGAGGGAAAGATGCCAGTGCTGGTTGTATCAACCAAAGAATCTCCCAAGAGATCCAAGGCTGAGATGGAAGCTCTTAATGGAGCTAAAGGGGTGACCAAGTTTGTGGAAGTACCAGGTGCTCTTCTTCCACAAGAGGAGTATCCTGCGTTGGTGGCACAAGAACTTTATCAGTTCTTGCAAGAATATTTTGGCTCTGTTGCTTAGAGTTGCTATTTTGCTTCTTTTGATTATTTTTGTATCAAACGGAGAATATGAACATCATTGATGTTCTGCAACTTTTCCCCTTCGGGACTGTTGGTGCATCTTTTGGAGGCACTTTAGTTGATGAGGGTGTATACAACTATACATGTTTTATGTACTGTGATTTCTTTTCCTTAGTAAACAAACCCTCGTGTATGCGAAGCTTACACTCATCACTTCAACACAACTTATCAGCTGAAAAGTATTAAAATTTCAAGGTTGTTTTTTCGAAGAAATTTCAAGTTATTTTCTAAAATAATTTATGTCTACTTTATTTTTCTCTCTATTTATATTTCTTTCTTGGTTATTTCCAAGAAAATAATTTATATTTCAACTTTATTTAATTAATTTTTCCTTTTTGCCATTCTCCCTTTCAAATAAAACATAAAACAACTTGTACAACATTGTTTTTTTATCTACAAATAAATAAAATAGTCTCATACAATGAAGATTAAAACTTTTTATTATATCTCGAATAAAATTAACAATTTGCTAGTATTGAAGGACAGCTAAGAGGCGTATTATTTTTTTTTAAAAGTTCTCACTATTATATGTCATTGATTTTTATAATTTAAATCACTCTTTTTTTTCTCTTAAACCAACAATTTTAATTTTTTTTTATTTCATAGTCCCATAGTGTCACATCTTTATATTTCATAAGAAAATATTTTATTAATACTAATGGAATAAATATAATTATGATCCAGACACTTAAATACACCTTACACCTTTTTTCAACCAGGATAGGTGATTTTTTTTTCTTTTTAATTTGTATTATCAGATATAACGAATTTTGCTGCAAATTAATTATCATCCTCTAGTGTCGCTGATTTTGACTTTTTTAATTAATTTTTAATTATATATATGTTATATATGCTCTTATTTATGCGGTACGTGATATAAAATTTAGAGAAATTTCTAAAAATATGATCATTTAATAATAAATGAAAAATAATATTATTTATTACATAAAATAACTTACTTAGCAAGAGTATTACAAATAAATTCTTATATATTTTGTATTGTGTGACTAACTTAAGATTTGTTTATCAGATAATATTTAATGTAATTTTCTCTTTTTATTCGTTGGGTTTACTCTTCACCGTTATTTACAACTTAATCAATATCTTCTCTTCCTAAACTTATATAAAAAGAGACTATGAAATTTTTATAAGAAAATATCTGGTGTAACTTTATTTTTTTTATCCAAATATCCTTACACTTTGGTTAAAATTATTATGAAGGAAATAAGATAATTAGGACCACTCGAATAAATGAAAGAAAAAGTTGATCAGAAGATGAAATGTAAGTGTTATTTAACCATTTCTATTTGTAAAGAAGTCGAAGAAGATTGTGAAGAAGCAAGAAGAACCAAACAACTGCGAACAAAGCAGGACCAAACCAATTAACTATAACAGTTTGTCTTAATATATATGAAATTAACCTGAAAGAACAGATTGAATGCTTCGTAGTTATTGAAATAGAAGTAAGTGAAAAAAATTTACTCGCTCTCTTGGTTGGTGTAGTTAGAACTTGCATGCATACATGCAGACATCACTGTTTATGATGATGTATATCAGTGGTCCCAATCCCAGTCAAAAGTGTATGCCCTAATTATCTTCTCAACAGATTGAAAAGTTGAAAGAACATAAACAAACTTTTTGTTTGCTTAAGAAGTCTAATAAATAAGATGATGAAATACTGTTTGAAAAGGAGAAGTTGACAGTATTAGGATTGAAATGAATTGGATGAAAAATGATAATTAATTAGAATACAACTATTAATGAATTTTTCACTATGATATTTTTATGTAATTAGTGAAATTGAATTGGCTTAATAAGCTAAAAAAGTTTGTGATGTAAATATCACTTTATGCTACATCAATGGTCCAATTTGCATAACACAATTGTTTTTGGGTCATAATAATAATAATGATGTGATACAGCCATCGTGGGGAATGCATGAGCTGTTTGGTCGTATCATTCTCTTAAAACTGGTCCCTCACACTACAAACTTTTAAAAATAGTCCATCAAAGATAATGGAATTCCTAAATGTTTATTATCTCAATAAACACGAGTTTTGTCATGCTTCTTAATCCAAACCAAAACAAAAATATGATCCGAATTTTCGTGTTAATAGTTGAAATTAAAAATAGTTTATATATAATTTGTAGATATATTTTTTAAAATTAAATTAAGATTTTAAACTAAATAATATATTAAATATAATAATTAATCTTAACAATAATATCATTTTCAACCTTAAGAATAATTTATATATAAATATTTTTCTTAACCTATATACTTTTTAAAAATAAATTAAAATTTAAAAAAAATAATATATCATAATAATAAATCTTAACAATAATATATTATCAACACGAAACACTTTTATTCAAATTATTCCTTTTTAACCTTGTCCTCCCATGCTCTTAACTCCCCCCATCTTTTCTATGAAGTTAACCTAACAAATTACTTAGTTTATCATGGGCTCAGTTTCTAAATACAACATATCATTTAATCGACCGAATTATTTAAATATAATAGAAAAAAAAATCTTGAACGTTGATCTTAAATGTAAACAAAACTTAACTTAATTTTACTTATTTAATGTGATATATGATCTCTAAACCTTTTTCTATTTAATTGGTATATTATTTTCAATTATAGAATTTAACAAATGTACCATTAATGTACTTCTATAGTGTTTCATTTTTTATTTATTTCTAACAATCATTAAAAAGGACTCAACAGATACACTACTTTTTACCTATCATTTGTAATCTTCAAGACCATCTTCCATATTATTTACAATTATTGTTTTGAAAATGTCATGTTTTTTTATTCAAAGATCTATATTTTTTTATGGGAACTAAAAAAATATTCAAATTATATGAATTTAAAATATGTAAACTTAAATTACATAATTGTTTTATAGGTACGAAAGAAAAAAGTAAGAGAAAATAGATAAATATATTTAAAAGTAACATAAACGTATTTAAATAAAATGTGATATAATAATAACTTTTGTTTGGTTATTATACATGAATCATAGTGTTTTTTACTCTCCATATATTAGCACAACGGTTTCAAGTTATTTTCTAAATTCAAAATAAAATAAATTGAATTAATTAATTTAAATTGGTTATTATATATTTTTATTTATCTTCCATTTTAAATAGATTCACGTATCTTATTGAAAAAATGTAAATATATTATTAATAAAATATGATTTAGTTTTATATACACAGATTACATTATACATAATATAATGATGAGATATTAAATCTATGTAAAATAAATGATGAATATTAAAAACAGAAAGGGCTTTTTATTTTCAATATTAAAAAAAAATTAAAACATTCCTCTAATTTCACAACCTAATAAAGTTATTTTTTCCCATATTTTAAAAATTTAACAATTTTTAAATATTAAAAACTATTTTAGTATTTTATTTTAAATATTAAGTTAAATTAAATATAAAAAATATTTTCCTTTCATATTATATCTTTTTCAACTTTAAAAATATAAGATAATTAGAACTTTGATATATCTTGATTATAATTTGTCGTTAAAATGTATTTCGAACATTAAACATACGATGATATTTATATATATAAATTAATTTATGTAATATTTAAATAATTTTTTCTAAAAGAAATTAAAATATAACGATAACTTGGAATTTTTTATTTATAAATATTGTTAATAATGTCATTATAATATAATGAGATAATATTGTTAACACTAATAACCACATTTCAAATATTGTCGATTTTAGAATTGGATGCCAATTCTACTTCTTCAAATGTGTTTTTAATGTGACAAAATCATTAAACAAGACAATTACACATATAATCATATTATTTTAATGGATTTTTAGTCAAAATTTTAACATTATTTATATAGATAAAAATAAAAATGTTAAGTCCTTCTTATTTTTTTAACTTTCAACAAGAGAATTTATTTCTCTCTCTCTCTCTCTCTCTCTCTCTCTATATATATATATATATATATATATATATATATATATATATATAAGTTATGCATAATGAAAAAAACTTGAAATTAACTATAGCATATTTTCTTATACATAATATGCAACCAAATAATTAATCTCTACATAAATTAGAGTATCTATTTTAATCAAACTCGTATTTATCTGTCACTTTTCAATAATTAAAAAAAATGTCATTAGTTAGAACAATATTAGAATTTTTTTAATGTTTTATCTTTTTTTATTCTACTATTATATTTATATACATATATATATATATATATATATATAATTTTAACTTAAATTTTAATATTTGAAAAATAATTAGCAAAAATTATTAAATAATTTATATCACAATATAAATTATTAATCATAAAATATAAATAAATTTTATAGTCAAAGGTATTTATTTATTAATTACAAAATTCAGTTAGAATATTATTCATATGTTTAAGATGTTTATTTATTATAACTAATTGTATGAAACAAATACTTATTTTATAAAATACACAAGCTCAAAGTACCAATTCCAGTAATGAAATGTAGATAATCTATTTTCACTTAATTGACCCAGATGACTTTCGAGCCACATCATCATCAATCACACATCGCCACCTCAATCGTACATTTACATTGAAAACTACTTTTTCTATATTAAAGCAAATAATTAGATACTATAAATCAACTACCCTATTTTAAGGAGAAAATTGAAAAAAGAAAAAGAAAATGCTAAAAATTATAAATGAATTGAGAGAGGGAGTACTTTACTAAGTTGTTGCTTTTTTATACCGACAGGTATTCAATATTTTTTTTTAGAAGAACGTAACTTTAAATTTCAATGATTTAAAGGGTAATTTTTTTGTTTTAAATATGGTGCCCCATTAGGTTTTACGCAAGTCATAATCGGAAAAAAATTAGGCACGCATTATTTTAGTTTTTAATTATTTATGTAGATTTGATTTTCATTAAATTAAAAATACCCGTCGTTGATATCATATTCATCATTAATGTGACATGATCTAATTACGATCGAGTATGTTTAAATGATACCATATATACTCATAAAAAAAACGATACCACATATTAAAAGTGACGATAATAATACTTTTAAATTTATAAAAATGAAATGAACTAAAAAAATTAAAGAAAAGTTAAATTTTATCAAAATCTATCATTTATTAGACAACTTATTAGTTGGTATAAGAGCATCATCCGAAAATACAGCAATAAAATACTCTTTTTTTTTTTTTTTCTTTGTGCTAGAATGGAATGCTATTCGTGTGCTTCCAGTACTGTTGCCATTTAATGCAGCATGGATTTATTATTAGTTGTAGTTCGTCCTGTTTGCAGAGAAGAGATAGAAAAGGAAAAATATGGAAATTCTTACCCAGATTAGTAAATCAATCTTTGTCATGCAGTAACATACTTGACTTTTAAAATTTCAACTGCAGACAATATCCTCTAAAATTAGCATATTCTACATGTATATATAGAGAGAGGTTATATGTACGTCGGTTATGGAGAAATATATTTACTATAAAAATATTTTGTATGTGCATATCAAGCATTAATTATATCTTGCTACTATAAGCATTAATTTGAGTGGTCACGTCTCCTACCTCAAATTTGGTCTTGTGAAATTTCGCAGCCATTGATATAGCTGGCTTTCTTGTCTATACCATACGTACCTGACAAGGCAATCTCAGTTTGCGTACTGAATTCTTGTCTCTGCATTCACTGCAAGACTATGAATATATACAATCTATAAAGCATACTTACTTTCTCTCTGATCAATCTTTGGATTTCATGGTCAAGAAGAATCCAGAGAAAGATATCAGGGTTATTTTCTCTGATTTCACACATATATGAACATGGGGAGGCCACCTTGCTGTGACAAAATTGGAATTAAGAAAGGACCTTGGACTCCGGAGGAGGATATCATGTTGGTGTCTTACATTCAAGAACATGGACCAGGAAATTGGAGATCGGTTCCCCCCAACACAGGTAATTTTCAGTGTTAACACCTTTCTATTTATTTATTTATTTATTTATTTTTGGTTTTCGTTTATGTGCTTTTCAAAATCCATTCATACACACACTCACAAATTTCGTACTACTAACATCAATTTCATTTTTTAAGGTTTGATGAGATGCAGTAAGAGCTGCAGGCTTAGATGGACTAATTATCTTCGACCTGGTATCAGACGAGGTAATTTCACCGAAAATGAGGAGAAGATAATAATCCACCTCCAAGCCCTTTTGGGTAACAGGTATAGTAACTACCTATTAACCTCATCTTCCTACCAACTTATTAACTTTGCTTTGCTTTCATCAATTAATGCTTTGGTCTCAGTAGTTAAGCCACAATTACAAGTTTTCCAAATCCCAACAATATGATCATGAAATGAAGAAACAAAAAAATGTAAAAACAACTGAGGTTCTATAGGAGGTTTATCTGGATCTGTCCTTGAAGCAATTCATTTGTGTTTTTGTTTCTTATTTTACGAAATGAGCTTATTATATATGATATGATGGTTGCAGATGGGCTGCTATAGCTTCATACCTTCCAGAAAGAACAGACAACGACATAAAAAATCATTGGAATACCCATTTGAAGAAGAAGCTGAAATCAAATAATCGAAGTGGTGGGAATGAGGGTGTGGACCAAGAAGGACAATCTTCTTCTTCACATCTGAAGGGTCAGTGGGAGAGACGATTACAAACAGATATCCAAACGGCCAAGCAAGCCTTGTGTGATGCTTTGTCCCTTCACAGGCCGGCAGCAACACATGCTTTGCCTGATACCAAGCCTTCAAGTTCTGATCAACCCTACAACCATGCATCACCTTCATATGCATCAAGCTATGAAAACATTTCCCGGTTGATGGTAAACTGGATGAAATCTCCAAACACAAACGAAACAAACTCACTAGGGGATTCTTCCTTCAATAACATGGTCAATAATACACCGAGACCCAGTTCTAGTGAGGGAGCACATAGCACCAGTAATACCACGTGTGCACAAGATCATTTTTTTGACTTGTTCATCCTCAACTCCCCCAAACACAATGGTTCTCCATCTCAGAATCAAGTGCCTCTTACTCTGATAGAGAATTGGCTTTTTGAGGAAGGGGCTTCTCAGTGTCATGAAGATCTGTTGAACATGTCGCTGGAAGAAAGTACTTCAGGTTTGTTTTAGAAATTGTTGCTACACATTGTGCCTCTTGCAAGTCCTGAGCTCTAGCTAATGGACTTTTTAGCTGTGTTCCTACGAGAAGGTAATTAATTCCCTCCCTCCCTCTCCACAGACAACAATTGTACATTACAAGTACATCTATATCCTTTACCAATTTGTTACGTACGTACCCATGAATAAGAGTATGATGTGTGTATTTTGGACCTTCGTTTACCGTCTCCATTTCAAGGGTTGCAAGTCGTCTAGGGTTACACAGAATTTCAGCATTGTCACCTATCATTATCTATCAGCTCGATGACTGAATTTTATCCAATTTAATGCTTCAGTACGACTCAGTTCATCTTAAAAATGTTAGGTATGCCTTTGACTAGTTTATTTTTATAATAGAAATATCTTTCGTTGGGTTTTACTGAAAAAAAAAAAAAACTATTTTATCCAAAAGATTAATAATCCAAATCAACACTGCATTGACCTCAGAGTAAAATCAACAAGTTGTTTTTAGTCAAGATTTCCAAATCAATGAGTTAATAAACAAGGAATTTCTATCTAACTCAATACATAATTTAGCTCCCAGCAATTAATATATTGATAAAACTTTCATTTAACTCGAAATTTTTTCGTTTTTATAATTCAACCAAATTTAAACATTGTTCAAAAATAAAATTTAAGTTATAACAATCACATAATTACATTAAAAAATATGTATTTTTGTAATCTTAAATTTAACGGTCTTTCTACCAAAACATTATTATATAATTTAGCTGTCTATATCTATATTTTGAGTTCTGCTAACTGGTAATATATATATATATATATATATATATATATATATATATATATATATATATATATATATATATATATATATATATATATATATATATATATATATATATATATAAAAAGTAAGAAAGATAAATAATTTATATGTGAAAAAATTTATCATCTAATTTTTAGATTAAAAATTGTGTTATATTTTTTTATATAATTAATTAGTACTCGTAAGAATCTTTATTATTGTATTTTTTAAATGACCCAACACAAAAATATTAGGTGGATCCCATTTATAAGAATTTATCCGTTATTACCTTTTGAAACACTCAATGCAAAAGCTTCAACTGAAATTTGCTTTTAATAAAATAGGTATTTTAAAAAAATCGGTAAATAGATAATATTTTATACGAATTAAAAAAATCACATTTTAAAACATAATTTTTATTTTTTTCAAAAAATATTTTAATATTAAAGTCATACTTTTATATTATTTTAGTTTTTTATATTATAAATTTTTTGTTTTTAAGTAAAGACGTGGTTATGTATACGACTTCACTCTTTTTTTTTAATCTTAATATAATTATATATTATTATTATTATTAACTATTATAAATAATACTATTACTTATAAATTTATATTAATAATAATTATAATAACAAATAATTATTATAATAATTAATATTGTTAAATTTATTATTTAGTATTATAAATATAATTATATTTTTTATTATAATAAAATTAATAAATTGTTTATTATGTTGTTATTATGATTTATTAATTTTTTTTATTATTAGTATATTTATTATTTTTATTATTGTTTTTGTTTTAAATTGATAATAAGTATAATAATAATAAAGTTAATAAATATAATAATAATAATAATAAATTTTTTAAGTATAATAATAAAAGTATAATTATAATTTCAATTATAGGAATAAATAATAAAAATAATAATATTAATGATTATAATAATTATTAATAATGTTATTGTAATAATAATTTTATTATGATTATTATATTTATTAATTTTATTATTATTATTATTAGTATATTTATTATTTTTATTAGTTATTTAAAATGGTAATAAATATAATTATAATAATTATTTTAATAAATAATAATAATAAAATTAATAAATATAATTATAAATTTATACTTGTATAATAATAAAAAATATTGGTATTATTATAATTATTATTAATGATATAAATTATAAACTATTATTATAATAATTAATAATAAAAATATATAATTATATAAAATATATATATAAATGCGATTTACTGAAAAATTATAACGTAAAAGACTAAAATTAGTAAAAATTTAATATTACAATTTTTTAAAAATGATATTTTATATTTAAAATCGTATTTGAAAATAAAACTTCTTTATTTAAGAAATTGTTTTAAAAAATATTGATTTTAAGAAATAAAAAAAAATATCATTTTAATCCCGTAATAAATGATGAGTTGGTGACGAGATATTGAAATGGGATGAGACTTGGCATCGCATCAGGATCTTATCTAACTTTTCATTTAACTCCTCTTCGCACATTTGAGGCCACGCTCTTGTTGCTTCCACCACTCTTAAACAAATGTTAAATAAACAGTGATAGCTATCGACTTCATTCTTCTACCTCTACCTCTCCCTCTCCCTCTCCTTCTCCCTCGTCAACCCCACTACTACCGACAATCCACCATCTTTGTCACTTGCAATGCAGAACGATGCGTGCGTGCGATAGCTACCACGATGGAACATGCACATGCCTTCTATTTTCTCCGACGTGTAGATTAATTCATTCCCTGCATTCCTTCATCTGGTTTTAAACACAGACTCTGGGAGAATGAATAGCTTCCTTGTTACAGAAAATCCCACAACTTCTCCACAAATTACATGACCTTCAAGAGAAAAACACTACTCCTTTTATCTCTTAGGTTTTGTTACAATAAGTGGCCCATCTTAGGGTGAGTTGGAGATTATAAACTATTTGTTTGTCAAATGATTTGCTGTGATGTATAATTTTAGAAACAACGGTGATATTTTGAGAATAAGAAATTATACAATTCTTCATTACTCACTTGTATTAATATAATAATATATGGAATAATTTAATAAAAATAAAAATAAATTAAAATTATTATTATAATATTAAAATAAAATTATTTAAAAGAGTTGGATAGATTTAAGTTGTGAAAACGATCATTTTCCTTTGATAATTATGATTTTTAAATACTGTTAGATTATACTGTGTGATGTATATTGATTGTTTATTTCGGTTAAAAATAATTTTTACCAGAATAGCTTATGTTTCGATGTTTTTGCCTTGAAAACAAGTTTGCAATAGGAAATTTTTTAACTTAACACAGAAACTGCTTTTAACTAAAAAATTGAAGCAAAAATAGTTATCATCGTCGTCACGATCACTTTCTCTTTTTATTTTTTAATTAATTTATTTATTTTTATATACAACATTTTTTTGTCCATATACACACACAAAAAAAAAATCATATTTCCTTGTTCATAATTTCCAAATTAAAAATTGTATAATTTTGTTGTGTACAAGTGAGAAGAAATAACAATGAAATAAAAATATTTGGTAGCATTATAAAATAATGACTCAAAAATTGAATTATGCTGAAATATCATGCTTTCTTTTAAAAATAATAAAATGTAATTTTTGTCGAATGAAGAGAAACAAGTAGTAATTAAAAATCTCTTTCTCTTTCTTCTTCCTTAAATTTCTTCAATGATGTCCCTCGTTATTATGTGTGTGCTTTGTCTGCAATAACTCTATGTTTCTTCAAAGTTTTATATCAAACGGTAGTACTGTTTTAATTTATTTTTCAACAACCAAAAGAGGTCCTATAAGAATATAAATAATTTATTTTATAAGAATTTAATTTTGATGTACTCTTAGAATATATATTAAATCCATTTGCAATATATAGCATATTTAATCATTATTAGATTATTTAAATATTAACAACCGTGATAGTTAATCTTATAAGTTTAATTTTTATTAAAATAATTATCCTCTCAACTAAATACAACTTTTCTTAGATATGAATATTTAAGTGATTACTATCAAATTAATATTTTTAATTAATGATTATTTTATGATTCAATTTTAGTATGGAAAATATTTACACCATCACTATATTAACCTAAGCCCTATTTGTATTTTTCATTTGATAAATATAATTGACTAAATAATTAATTAATTAACTATAACATAAAAATGAGGGATCCGTTTGCAATAGTTAACATTACAATTATTAAATTATATGCTTTATAGATTATAAACTATTTTATTATATAAATATGTTGATGTACTGTGTTAAATTTAAAAAATGTATATTTATAAAATGCTATATAATATAATGAAAATTTGAAATGATGTAATTAATATTATAGGATAGGATTCAATCCATTTATAAATATCGAGATAAATTATTTAGCAAAAAGTATTAAAAGGTATGAAATTAAATTCATTTTTACCTAAAACAATAAATATCTTTTACGAGACAATTAATATTTTTTCTATTATGTAAATATCCTTTATGATTAAAAAAAAACATAGGTATGAATTATATAACGACATGTTTTAAGGTTACATTCTTATCACTAAACAATAGAAAACATGTTTTTTTTTCTTTCCTTTTTTAAATATGTAGGCAAAAAGCGTTAGAACAAGAAGCTAAAACATATTTAAGACGATTTATTTCTAACTTGGCTGGTAAGCCTTATGTTTTTTCGTCTTTGTTAAAGTTGAAAAAGGAAACAGATTTCAAATGGGAGGAGGAACATCAAAAAGTCTTTGAGCAGATTAAATTGACTTTGACGAATCCTCCGATTTTGATACAGTAATGAGGAACAAGCCATTGAAATTATATGTATCAGCATCAGATCAAGCTATAGCCAGTCTACTAGCACATGAGGATGAAAATGGTGTGGAATGTGTTGTTTATTATCTAAGTAGAATATTAAACGATGTTGAAACTCGATACAATGATATCGAAAAGTTAGGGTTATGTTTGTATTTCTCTTGTACAAAACTCAAATATGTAATGAAACCTCATGATGTGATGGTTTATTCCAGAAATAATATTTTGAAGTTTCTTCTGTCGAAACCTATTATGCATAATCGGGTAGGGAAATGGGTTCTGACTTTGATAGAGTTTTCATTATCATTCGATTTTTTGAAATCGATAAAAGGCCAAGTTATCAC